AGGGATTTACCACCATCGGTCTCCGACATACCATCCACAAGCCAATGGTCAGGTTGAGCGCTTCAACCGAGTGCTTAAGCAGTACGTCCAAACTATCCTGCAGGAACAAACAAACGTTCGTACAGGCCTTGAGTTTCCGGGTGTCTACCGAAGTACACCACATGCAGCGACGAAGCTCTCCCCCGCTGAGCTCATCCACGGACGTAAAATGCGTACCCGTATGGACATCTTAGGCTTCCCAAGTTTTGACGAGCCCGTTCACATCGAGATGCAGCAACTCCGCCAATGCATTGCTGATTACCAGAAGCACAGCAAGCAATACACAGATGATAGGCAAAGAGCCAAACCATTTACAGCGGGTGTAGGAGATTATGTCTGAGATTATGACCGAAGGGAACACCATCATTTGACCCCTCTGAAAGAATTCATGAAGCTGTGGGGCCAAGCACCTTCTCTGCTTATTCTTCCATCTCTTTTACCTCTATCCCCCCACAGATTGGTTGATCCTTTCTTTTTACCTTCCCTCCACAATCTTTCATTTATTAATCATATTTCACACAAACACCACCATCTCCTTCTCATTAAAATTTGCTGATGAAACCTTAAATTTTGTATGATTATTCAGAAAAAATTATGTATGAAAGGGCAAAGCCTGAGTCAGTCGAGCTGGAGTCCTATGCGAGGCTAGGGTAGCTTATGTGTCTGTGCAAGGGAATGATCGATTGAACTGGTGAGTATGGGATAGCTGGAGATGACTTCCTGAATGTAATTATTGTTTCAGAGGTTAGATGGTACTGAATTGTGGCGATTATTAATTATTAAAGGAACTCTCCAAGTGTAGGAACTATTAAACAGGCAAGAAATAAAAAGAAAGCATTATTCTAGTACATCGTTACTTATGTAACTTTACATTTTAACATTTGAAGTGTTTCTCCACCACAAAGTTTTATTATTATTACTGTTTTATATTGATTTAATCATTCAAATCTATACCACCATGTGTTTTCTTTTACATACACATTGTATGCTGAGTACAGAGTTTTGGCTGAAGCTAAGACGTGTTTTGTACACCATTTATTTGTACTAACCTTATAATTGGGAGGAAACATGTGCTTCATCACAATAGCAACATTGCTGAAGTAGAGGTTTCAAGGAACAAATACAGTTAACTTGGAAGTCTGCTTGCCAGTGGAAGGACATTTTTCTATGACATCTGTGCAGTAAAAAGCCCACAAGCGTGCTTCTAATTAAAAACGCACGCTATCCAGAGTAGCGCGACCCGCAAAAGCGGTTCTTCCTACTAGAATGTGCCTTGTGGAACAGTTTGAAACTCAGAAAAGAGCTTGTACCCTGGAAGGAGGGTTTCCCCCTTCTATTTGCTGTACGGCGGGAAAGCGGCGGACCAAATAACTCGCAAGTGCGCTTCCCCTTGCGCGTATTTTCCTTGTGGGAAAGCGCAGAACCAGCAAATGTACTTGTCAGTTGCAGTAAGATGGGAAAGCAGTAGACCTAACGTTCCATAAGCGTGCTTCTCCCTTAAACACCGAGTTTTGCAGGAAAGCAAAAAACCCGCAAGTGTGCTTCACCTTACGAAGTTGTGTACTGCGGAAAAGCGACCTAGAAATACTTCTTCATTATCTACATTTATTGCAAGAAATCCATGCGCGAATCTCATCCTCCGAAGAGCACTTATGGCAATAGGCCACATTGATTGACTGAACATGACTTTACAACTAACCAAATTACAGATTTCTCACTGGCGAAATTAAAAAAAGAAAAAATCATTGATTAGATTTAAACTGTTTTCTCAAAATAATTTTTTGAGAGAAATATAATTTCTCTGAAAATAATAAATACACTAGAATATGCAAGATCAACCAGAGACATATACTTTAGTCTGTCTGCCTGATTCTATACCTCTCTGCTGGTATTTGAGTTTGTATGCTTGTTCACGCACGCAGTTCTTTTGTTGACTCTACCCTTTCCCTTGTTTTGCTATACCTGAAGAACGAGCTGAAAAGTAGAGAGAGCGTTCAATCCTACAATTTACTTGTGCCTCGAAGAAGTCCTATATTTGCTCGTTATCCCCATATCAATATTACTTGATAATTATTTTACATGGAATGAAAATATAAATACACCTGAAAACAATAAAATAGTTGAGGTTCAAGTGGTAAAATTAATGTGTTTTTTTTAATATATCAAAATGTTTGATTTGAAACATCGGTATTCAAATCATTCTTGGGTAGTCATTTAATTACAGTAATTAAACTACTGTAATTTAATTACTTTTCTGGTAATTTGTAATTCATCACTTCCTGCTAAAGGGAGCTGCAATTGTACTTTATTTGCTTTTTAGCATCAGTAATTACAAACTTTGAGGCACAATTACAACTACTTTTGCAAGGATTTCCGGTGCCAACCGGAAATCCTTGCATCATCAACACTGATGATGACATCAGTGACGTCACTGATGACGTTACCGACATTAGCATTGTCATCATCACTGATGATGTCATCAGCAAAGTAATTTGTAATTGCAATGAGTTATTTCTCAGGTAGTACTAATTGTAACTGTAGTTAAACTACTTTTGGAGCAAAGTAATTGTAATTAAATTACATTTTAAAAGTAATTTACCTGTATGATTAAAGTTGTGGTCTAAATCATGATTTCGATTTAAATCAACTTGATTTTTATCCTCCACCCTGTGTATATGTGTGTCAGTGCATGACCACTGCCAATCATTTCATTTGCAGCATGCGACATTGAGCCCTCAATTCTTTATATGAGGGCAATGGGGGATGGCCAAGGGATGAAGATGGGCTGAACAATTTTTTTCCAACATTTTGTTGATATACTATTAGATAACTTTGCATCCTGCAGGTGAAATTCGGTACGGTCTGCTTTTCTGGAATCAATCGGATGGACACTGAATCTATAAGTCGATTGAATCAGGATGTCCCATGCAGGAACCAAACTGTTTAATTTTTTTATAGCTAACTTACTAATATTGTAATATTGCTGCTTTTATGCTTCAAGTGTGTAGATAAGTGGGTAGCACAAATGCTCAGAAAGAGTGGCAATGTCATGTTCTTTATATAGTTGATTATAGTGGAGACAAGAGCTTCTGGAAAAGTATTTGCGACTCTGTGTAGGTGTCAATCAGGCAAAGGCAAACGCTGCCTTGTACCGCAGAGACACAAGGAATTATCTTACACCACTTTTCTTTGCAAATAATGATTTGGCAGCGCTACAGCGATAGTAGATAGTGCTGGCAAAAAAGGGCTGTCATTTGTGGCCCTCGAATTAGGAGGGTCAGCAACAGGTTTATAATAATAATCATCTTTATTTTGGTGTCATCAGTCTTTATCTTGGATGCCCCGTGGTGCACCAAAACAAACAATAAAACCAGCAAACAAAAAAAATCCTAAACACACTTATAAAGTTAACAAACAAATAAATGTAAGATTATCCAAATGGCGACGGTACATTGCAACAAGTGCAGATATATAAAGGCGAGGTGGAGCGATGGCATCATATGACTGAATCCGAGAGACGTGAGGTATTCACAGTGAGCACACATAAAAGCATACGAAATGTCTGGTTACACATGAAGGAACATGAAACAGTTCTGCTCTAGTTTGCCTGTAGTTGTTTAGAAAGGCATCGGTGGACATCTTCACAGACTCCTTCTTTAAATAGGGTGGACATGCCTGCAAGAAGCAGTAACATCATTCCACATCGCATAGGCTGTAACTATTTGCTATTACCCATGTGCAATAGGTGTTCGTTGCCCGTAGTAATTACTCTGCATGTGATGTGCAGGAATTTGTGGCTCCCGTGTCGACCACGGCAATGAATTTGTGAGCCAAATATTAATGTCTTATTATTGTCACTCCCAATAAAAGGAATTTCCTTGCATCTTGTGGAAGTGGTACCTGGGCTCCGGATCATTTGTTTCCTGCAGTATGGCACCCAGGCCCAATCCCATGCCATTCAAGAAAGAAAATCGAGACGGCACGTGCAGTTGCCTGGTAGAAAAACAGCTTTTCTACCAGGCAACTAGAACCCAGTTATCTGGTAGCTGTGATGCTTGGCCGAACAATGCAAACAAAGAAATTGTTAGCTATCTGGGCCAGCAGCCTCTGAAAAGCATTCATTTAAGGATTAGCAGGAAAATAAGAATAAAGTGTTGGTTTCGAACTTTTGGACATAAAAGGAATAGAATACTAACTCCAGACGACTACTACTTATTTCAACCAGCAACAAAATTCATCACTGTCATTGCTGGTTGAAGGAAGCAGTCCACTAGTTTCTTTCCATTCTTTGTGTTGGAAAGTTTTTGTATAATCTACTGATATGGCCATACATCCTTCGACAGTAAAACAAATTTTTTTGAAAATGCTGTAAACAAATGCCTCCACAGCGCACTTCCAGCTTGTCGGAGTAATGAACCACGTCTCTGCAAACTGTGGTGTTCTCAATACAATGCTAGTATCAAGCTTAATACTTTGCGACAATGCTCTCGTGTTAAGCTTTTCCTTGTTGCACCGGTACACGCGGAGAAGCACTCGTGCTCTCGCTGTAAGTTTTCCCACATCGCACCGGTGCATGTGAAAAGCACCAGCTCTTTTTTGGTAACCTTCTCCACGCTGCGGAGAAAAGCCAGTGCTCTCGCAGTTAGCTTTCGTACGTTGCTCTGGTGCACGCAGAGAAGCACCGGGCATTATTTGTGGAGTGATCAGAAAGGAAAAAAGGGGCCCATGTGCACTAGCTATTGTTGGGGGCAGGATTGATATCAAATGCAGTGTGTTGATGTAACTACTAAGGTATAAGACAAATTGGCACCCCCCCAAATGTAAGTAAACAACATCAAACTCGATTTGCAATGCAGAACAGTTTATTCACATTATAACACAAAATTCCGATTCCCTCGAAGCACTTCAGACTCGGAAAGAATCATCGGACTGTGCAGCGCCTAGTTGTTGGTTTTTTCAGAGCCAATTTACACAAGTAGCAACTTGCTCAGTTTTCAAGGGGCCTTGTTTTTGGAGCCTTCTTGTTACCAGATGTGAGGCCCACAAACTTTTTGCTATAATTTCCCCAGCCTCTTAGAAAGACTATGTCGTCAGATTAACAAAACTTTGCTGGAAAAGTCGGAGAATTCTGAAGAGACAACATGGCGCGGTCAATAGGGCACCCTTGATGGTCCAGCCATCCCACGAGCGGGTCCCTGGCATTGCCTCCTTGTGGTCCTGCTGGATCTTGGCCCTGGCCATCTTCTCCAGGATGCTCCATACTTGCTGGCCCATGAACCCAGCGAGGACCTGCACACGGTACTTGACATTAGCACCAAAGCTGATTGTCAGCTGCAGTCACCTCACTCGTTCAAATTGTTAAAGATGTTGCCTTGAAGATTTCACAGAAAAGGTGCTGCGCCTTTAGCTTTACATACAAGGCACCTATGCCAAAATGTCTAACTGGGACCGGTTGGCATATCGACTGGTTACAACTGGAACTAACTGGTCCCAAGTTGGAATTGGCTGTTATCAATAGGAGTGCAACTGGGACTAGCTGAGGGGTCAACTGGCTTGACTATGCCCAGATGGGGAACGGGTAGGGGTAACTGGGACCAGTTAAGGGGTTAACTGGTTGGAGGGATTCCCAGGGGAAGTTTCAATTGTTTTCCCATTCCCCGTTAGGGTTCACATGCCGTGTCCATTTCGACAAGATGGGGGTGTATTGATCTTTGCTAGTGAAGGAAAAAAAAACTTAAATATATAGATTTACAGAAATGGATAAACCTTGAATTACTAGGTATACATTTATGTATTTAAAAAAAATATGTCAAATTTTAATGTATATATCCTTTTATAAATTGCAATATAATTAGTGGCATAAAAAATATTTACTTAAATCAACATTTATGTACATGTATAAAATGTATTAAACATTGAAGCAAAGACCTACTCCCTTTTTTTTAAAAATCGGACCCAGCAGGCCGTTGTGACACGCATGCGGATTAGTTTTGCGCGTTGTCGACAGATGGCACATGTGACGCAGTGAAAAATCACCAATCATGATTTTTAACGATGATGAAGTTGAGAGGCTGAAGGTACAGAATATTACAGTTGAGAAAGCTAGTAAATACAAGTACCTAGGAGTATGGATATGTGATGGTGCAGAATATCTCAGTGAGCATGAAAAGTATATAATAGGTAAGGGCAACAGAAATGCAGCTGTAATGAAAAATAGAGCACTTTGAAATTACAACAGGTATGAGGTGGTGAGAGAGATTTGGAAAGGGGTCATGGTGCCTGGCGTGACTTTTGGAAATGCAGTGCTATGCGTGAAATCCGAAGTGCATGCGAGACTAGAAATAAAACAGTGCAGAGTAGGTAGGCTGGCTTTGGGGACACATTGCAAAACACCAAACCAGGGAGCTAGTACAAGGAGACATGGGATGGGCGTCATTTGAGAGCAGGGAAGCGGTGAGCAAGATAGAATTTGAGGATTGGTTGAGGCAAATGGATCGGTGGCAATGGGCACAAAAGGTTTTCAGCTATTCATACATGAGGAGTATAGATACAAACTGGAGACAGTGCACTAGGGAGTTAGGAGGACAGTTTTATAAGGCTATAGTGGACTTAGGAAGAGCAGGTGTCAGTTAAGGCCACAGAAAGAGATTGGTGGCTAGAGAGAATGCAGACAAAGACGGCTCTGGAAAACTATAAATTAAACAAAACAGTTATTGCCAAAGAAAGCATTTATGACCATTCTAGGGGAAGCTCATTGTTGTTTGAGGCGAGGACGGGTGTACTGCAAACCAGAACACACAGAGCGAAGTACCAGGAAATGGATACAGTGTGCACTGCTTGTGGAGAGGAGGACGAGACGGCTGAGCACTTGATACTTGATACGAAGAGAACATAGATTTAATAAAGTCATTGGGTTTTAGAAACAGCGAAGGAACAGTGGATTTCAAGACAGTAGAGATTACCAAGCAAATATTAAGTGAATGGTGGCAGAAGGCGAGAGAAAACTAGGTATTTTCTTATTAACTGATGGCAAGGGTGTTTTATAGCCTCACTTTCTTTGCAGTGCGGAGTGAATATAGCTTTCACCTTTAAATATTCTAAGCTTAAATGGTAAAACAGAATGGCTAGGTGGCGTACGCTACCGCCCGATCCAAAAGGCTCAGCCGGATTCATCCATCCGTCCATCCAGTGGTCGGTAGAGAAGGGAAACCATCGCCAAAGTTGGTGTATTGATAAACGTGTCGTTATGAAAATGTCAAAACCATATCTGCGCTTCTTGCGACCCAACGGTGAACTTCGAGAGCAGAAAGATGCAGTTCAACGACCGGAGGGCACCCAGGGAGAAACCAGACGGAAGAGAAAACAGCCGCGGAGAGCACAATGGTAAAAATGGCGGAAAGTCTACCCGAACTGGCAGCTGTTGTGACACAAGCAATTGGAATTGTTTGATTGTAAGGTGGGAGCGCAACCGCATCCTATCAGGGCTTCACCTGCGCAACGCGGAAACACGGGTGAGCACCTTTCTTCACGCGATGGAGAAGCTAGGGACGTCGTCACGGATGCTGACAGACGCCAGCGGCTAATCTTTCACCTCGCACGAATACTAGCTCTGAAAGGGCGATTCAATCGTCGCAATTAGCTAACGAGGCAACTGAAGCGGTCCTTAGAGCTACGCTGTGCTTCCTTCAATCCGGAAACGTGAACGTCACCGAACCTATTTATTTTCATTCTCGGTTTTTGACAATAAAGACTGGTCAACCTTCCAAGTTGTGCCGTGTTTCGTTGCTGGAGTTGGCACCGTTCTGTCAACCAGTTGAATCCAACCAGTAATTTAGCTCGCCACGTGCGCAGGTCGATTTTCAGTTCCCCTTTTTACGGTGAGCCCTGCAATCGTAGCCGCCCTATATTCGCGCTCTTTAGTGCAGCGACTTAACGCACGTGTGCATACCTTGTTGCCGATCCGGTTTGGGTGGACGCCGTCGCGGTGGATCCACTGGTGCCACTCGTCAGCTAGCCCGTCAAGGAACGTGAACCCTTCCCTGCGACACAACTCTCGCAGCAGCGAGTTCACCTCTCGGTAACGGTCATTCGAAGCCTCGATCTCTGCAGCGTGACTACGCTGCCATTCCAATGAGCAGAACCTATTCTCCCGTCTCGGAAGAACGGCAGAAAAGGCGATCTGCATCACTGGATTGCGTTCACAGATCTGGGCAGCTAGACGACGATATTTGTCGATGTACACGCTGGCACTAATATGGGAATTATTAGTGCCAACGTGTAGGATGACAACATCAAAATCGGGTAGCTTCTCAGACACCTGGGAAAACAAGTGCTCGATTCTAATACCACTAAACGGCGCAACCTCAACAGCCAACCGACTATTCAATGGCAAGTACTTCACCATCGAATCGCCGGCTACCGACCACAGAAGACTACAGCGGCAGACGCACATGGTCGGCCACATGTCGTAACAAAGGCAACATCCGGGGCCGGGGATGATACGTTACTTCCGGCGTCGAAGGAACGATTTCCACACAGCCGTCTTTCCTCCGACGCGACTACGTCACTTCCGGCGTCGGAGGAACGATTTGCACACAGGTCCCACTCCTCCGACGCCCGTCGGAGGAAGCACTTCCAAAGAAATTATACTTTTGGTATTCCCGGGGATAACATTATCGGCCGCGGCGAACGTAAAGGAACGAGCGTAAATTGACAGTTAGTGGCCTAATAAACTAAAATTTGCCATTTGCGAACGCTGGAGAGGGGGCGACCTCCTCTCCCCCGTTCGCTCCGCTGAAGTGGAACAGGGTGGGAGGACCTCCCACTTCGTTCTTGACCTGTCACCGACTACAGTTGCGAATTCCACTTGTCATTTTGGAGCGATGACGAGATAGAGCTGAGTCATGTATTGCGTTCTCTGAGATGAAGAACGCAATGCGCGCAGAGTTGCTCCACGTATGCACCAGTCACCAGTAAAAACGACCTGTCCTCCGAGGAGGTCGAGCGAGACGCCGGCGGACATGGAGGTCGGTCACCTCACCGTCACCACCGTCTACCGTGCCTTCAAAAACACGGGGCGCAATGTGTTTCTGCAGTATAACAACAAATTGAACAAACAAGGTGCAAACTTTCATTTTTTTCCTAAGTCTGGTTTGCAGGGCTGAACAGAATACAAAAACGATACGCCGTGCAGGGATGACGTCGACTACAATGGTACACGATCATAACAAGAGCACAAATCCTGCCACATTATTTTGCTACAGTGATAAGAGCATATATATCTTTGTCCTCGATGCAGCAACAGAGACATTATTTCCAAATTAGAGTTCGAAGTTAGCCTTCGATGCTAGCACTGACCAACTCACTTCACTCACAGGGTGAAAACGTGAAACTTCGTATCATTCGGACAGAGATCGAAAAATAACACGCACCGCTTCAACCAACTTGGACACCCCAAAATAATTAACTTTAGTGGATCGCACGCAAAAGCTAGCTTCGCGTACGCAATAAAATTGCCGGTCAGAAGTACGGTTCCGCAACCAAAATCAGCATATGAGTCATCAAATTATGAAGAAAAAGCAGGTGTGAGCGTGCCAAAAATATTCGACATTTATTGTTGTCAATATTTGTTTTTCTATCCACGTGCTTATGTCGCAGTGGAAAGCCGTGAAACTCCCTATAAAATTATTTTGGGCAGTGTTAGCGACGGTGCTCGCTCGATTGTAAAATGCCGCTTTGTTGCTACTTTGGCGAATCAAACAAGGAAGCCACGTTCACCTACAATGCCTTGTCCACAAGAAGGGAAATCGAAATTTTCGCTTCGTTTTCTTTTTTTTTAATATTCTTCTCTTCTATACGATATAGGGTATGAATTCTTATCCTTCCCTGTACTCTCGCTGCGACGAACAGTCCGATAAACGAGTCACCCTATGACAAAGATGGGGGTTCCGAAAATCTCCTAAAATCGTGTTTGTTCTCAGAGACACATCCGTGTGTAAGAAAAACCGCGGCCCTCTCCACGAAGTACGGACATATTTGATAAATAGCGTTGACTTGAGGTTGAACTTTTCATTTGCTTTGTAAACACAAGCGTGACGTCACGTGCGCATCCCACGCGACCCGACTGAAGTCTGAACTGGTGTACTAGGTGTGGACAATAGGGCATTATTTTGACTTCCCGGCCGCGACGACCTTGGCGAGGGTGGACAGATGGGGGTCCCGAAAACTCCTAGAATCGTGGTTTGTTCGCAGAGACACACACATCCGTGAGTAACAAAAAACGCGGCCCTCTCCACGAAGCTTACAAGGCATTGTTGTGTAACTACTGAAGATGCCTCCCGCAAGGGAGGCGAAACTGGTCAGAACTTCAGCTTGGGCGAGTTGGTTATTCATGATTCATGGAGGCGTTCATTCAAGGAGGCGTTTATTCATGGAGGCCAAAGGTCTAGTGAAATTGTTTTTTCCTGTTCTGTGAAGTCGGTGCTTTTATTTTAATTATGTTACCAGTCGGCCTGTGTGACCAGTGCTCATTTGAAGAATCGCCTTTGTCTTTCCTGAACCCTAACAAAAACATCCTTATAACATTTTTTTTTACTGTTCGGCTATGTTGGCGTAGCCTATAATCGACATAATTTTTGGGAAAGCCTACTTTTATTTTATAATTATCTGTAACCATTTCTAATTGAAGAAGTGACAAGTATAATAATTATATTATGATTTCATATCAAAATTCGACGAACCGGGAGATGCGAAATTCGGTGAAACAGCTTTTCAAAAAAAAATATCCGGTGCCCGAAACTTGCTTATATTAAAATGTCTAACATGTGTATGTGTTCTAATACAGAAGATGAGTGCAATGTGGAAACTGAATGGCCTCACAGACAATTGTGAACGAGTTGGAATTTTTGATGAATTACCCTTTGTCGAGTCATCCTACTACCGATTGGCCTCTTCAATCAATTGCCCGTCGACAAATATTGTTGTTGGTTTATTTGCCATCTGCTGTAAGGGGAGAGTGTGGGGCTCGTCAGGCCGACATCTGCCAGCATTTTCATCACGCCTCCAGCGCCTAGACTGACGCCGACGAGTTGGCCTAGAAATAAATACCCACGGACTATACTATAGCCGCTAAATATCTCCACGCGAGCATGATTTGTTTTCAAAGAGGCACCCGCCTGTCGGTGCTTCTTTGAATTATACATACGTCACGGTCAAAACGTTCCGCAGCTAATGAGTGAAGGCCGACCAACCTATTTTGTCCAATTGTCCGTGTATGGGAGATGAGAATGCCACTGCGTCAAAGACAAGACGTGTGCGAGCGTTGCTAAAAATAGAGACCACTATCGATGTTTTAGTATACATGGTTTCATTCTTAGTCAGAGCGCAAACAGAGGTTAGATGTCACGAAAACACATACACAAAGACAAAAAGCACTTTATCACGGCGAATTGTATGAGTTGTTATATTAGTGGGTGGAATCACCCAAACAAAGATAGTGAACGCCGTGGCGTTTAGGTGTTGAGCTGTTGGTGATGCTTGATCGGCGCAATGTGCCAGTCGAGCTCCAACTGAGGGTGATATGAGGCGGGGCAGCTCTGTGGTTTTGCTTGTTGTTTATTCTGGTGTCTTTCGTTTTTGCGCGAAATATTGCAGATCACAACAGCTAGGCATCTTCGTCCGATGAAGCTCTGTTTTATTGATTGGTGTTTCATCGAATAGTGGACATTTCATCGAACACCGCTTCATTGAACGCCAACTCATCAAGTAGCTTGATCGAATTATCTTTCTGCTATCAAATTATTGCAGATATAATAACTACGCTCGTCATATTTTGTAAATAACGGTAGCCTTTAGCGAAAATTCTGTTGCATAGTTCGTTTCGGCCATCAGCAAATTGTGAAAAATATCTATCTACCTATCTCTCTCTCTCTCTCTATTTATATATATATATATATATATATATATATATATATACAAAGGCAAACATGCGTACTGTCAGAGTTACTAATTCGAAGTTTACTACGACGCTTCGAGCGGGGACCACTCTTCATCACCTAATGAAGAACGGTCCCCACTCGAAACGTCGGAATAAACAACGAATTAATAACTCCGACAGTACGCATTTTTGACTTTATATATATATATATATATACATTTTACTAATACAATGTCTGGACATTTACACTTACCAAGTAACCATTTTCAGCTGTGATTTGAGACTGTGTTGCGCTTATCCCGCTCTTATTTATTTATTTTTTGTTTCTCTTGTTTCTGGCCTTTTTAGTATAGGCTTCCACCAGCTTGCTTGCGCGTGAACTCTAATTTCAAGTGAAATGAGTTTGTAAATTAGGGTGACACTATATAGGTTTGAAATCCTATACCAATTTTATTGCCATTTGGTGAGCCACGTACGAGTTTTGAAATATATCTTTTCATCCAAATAATCGATTAGTAAATTGAATAGCGATTCGGACGAATTTACTACGACGGGAAGAACGAATTTGCAAATCTCATGGCAATTAGGAAATTTCAGCCATCCTTGGTTTCCGATTGGTCGCGCTCAGTAGCGGCTCCCTGCGCACAGAGTAGCCTCGAGTCGGAATTCGCGGAGTCTCTACTGACCGGCCAAAAAAGTGCGGCGCTTCAACTGCTCCCGCCCAGACGACTTGATGTATTTGTATACGCCCATGACATCGGCCGCGATCGGCGATTGAGGTTCCGTTAGCCGACGCAAGCGTCAGCGGACGTCTCATATTTCCATACTCTCATTTAACTACAGAAACAATAACAACAAAAACAATCATCCAGTTCATGCTCACTATGTTCACCACTGACAAGATAGTCGGTAGTCGACGAGTTTCCGTGCAAAGCCGATCAAAACAAGGCACCAGATCAACTTTTACGGCTGCCATCAGGAAAGATCTGGCTTGTCGCGTTCCCTCAACGTCACTCCGAATATTGTTTGTGCCCCGCGCACCATCCTCTTGTAGCAATATTTTTATTGTCCCCATGTGATTTCTTTTTTATGTTCTTACTGGTGTTTGATCATAATTCGGTCATTGAAATAGTTTTTGCTGCCGACCCTACCATTATTTTGACCCTCTGGCAGCAAAGGAATATTATGCCGGCATTACACACGAAATAAGAATGTAGACACTCCGTCCCATATCTCAAATTACATCACAATGTGTTTACACAACTGTAGTGCAGAGGTACGATGAGCAGGGTCTGAGAAAATATTAGTTTCAGTATTTTCAAAAGAGCGACGAAACAAAATAAAGAAAGGACCGCCAACCGGCAGCGCGTGCAAGCATAGGCAGTAGTGACAGGAAGCGCGAGGTGTGTCTTTCGTACGGCCGGCATCAACTCACGCACTGTCCGAAGATGTACTCTGTTTTACTCGTAGGATTGCAAC